TTATTAACAAAAACCAACAAACCACATGATCAAGTGTAAATCGTAGCGGAATAGCTGCGCTTGATTGTGTTGGCTTAGCAAATGAAAAAGTGGGAAAAACGCAACGATAATTTACAAGGCTAACTTAGCACAGTGCGTAGCCAACTGGCTGAGTCATTGGGATCGTCGGTTCGAATCCTACTGAAAGCAGTCTGATGAGGAAATGTGGTGATTTCCGAAATAGCTATCACTTCTACCATTTTTTCAAATTATTGTTGCTTTTCCACAATAAGTTTTTCATTAAAAACGGCCTCGAGCTCAATAAAAATTGTTGAATATAAATAAGTTTGTAAAAGATGGCGTGGCAAATCCCATAGGCAACAAAATTTTTATCAGCTATAACTTCAAAACCATAAACCACATGAAATTTAACTTTGGTATGCAAACATATCTATGGTAGGTGCTTATAGTAAGGTATATATGAATGAGTTTATAAAAGGGGGCGTGGCACATCCCGTAGGCGTGGAATTTTTAATCAGCCATAAATTGGGAACCATAAGCCACATGAACTTGAAATTTGGTATTCATACATAGGTATCTATTGGAGTTGTTCAGAGTAAAGTATATATAAATGAGTTTGTAAAAGGGGGATATACATATATATATTTATCTATTAGATAACTCGGATATTTAAAACTGTGTTTTCTTTTTTTTGAAACCTTACCGTCTTTAGATTATTTTGAAATGGAAAGATTAAATCGTTTTTTAATATCGCGATGCTGTTAAACGAAAAAGTTTCGTTCATAATGAATAAAACTCCTTCCGAATTAAGCGTTCTACTAGAAATGTGCAGTTAAATAAGACAGCTAATCAAATAGGCAGCGAAATAGAATGTACCGTAGTAGAATAATTTTTATTTGGAAATTTGATCGTTACCTTAATTCATTTAATATAAATAATGGAACAAAATTTGTAGTACAAGTGATGATCAATATATATTAGTTATAGCACTATAAAGCCAAAAGTAGGGCTCCTAATGATGCCTTAATGTAAACAAAGAAAATAGTTTGCCTCCATTAAATTATGCTGAACTGAATATTTGTATTACTGTTTTATATTTTGATTTGTTTACCCCGAACGACGTCGGGTGCTCTGCTAGTAACTTATAAACACAAAAGATAGCGTTGGAAAGCTTGTTTGAAGACCCTTCTACTGATGTCCGCTTCAATGACATGGACTTAGTATTGGGGCCTCAGTGGTAGTTTGAAAAATTTTCTACGAATCAAAACATCCTGGAACAAAACCTTCTTAGTTTTTTTATACTATAATTTCTGAAAGTTTGAAAAAAAATTCAATGAAGGTACGTACAGACGCCACATACATACCATAGCATCTCGTAGTGGAGACACGAACCAAACCACATTTACCTCTATATCTTTCCAACTAGTAGCCGGACCTTAATATATAAGGTATCGTTTGAAAGGTATTGGCCTATAGAATAACATTAAATATGTTGGGTGTACCCACAACCCCCCTTAAACCGGCAAAAGCAAAAAAAGGTTTTTTTGTTTCGCAACACTTTAGCCTATTTTTTAAGAATCCGGTTAATCGTTTATGAAACTTAATTACATTTTCTCGACACACTTCTCAAGACCTTTCCAACGATGTCTCAAACATGTCGAGTGGACGTCTGGATAAAAACTTCCAAATCTCGTGTATATATAAGCGAGCCATTTCACCATGCTACTGTGGCTGCTTTCGTCACTCGGGCGCACTGCCGTGCGCTGTGATAAAGCGGTACAAGTTACAGCTGCTATTAAAGAGATCACCACCTCTCCTCATCAGACTTCTTTTCTAGACTTGAGCAGGAATTGAACCCTCATCATCACATGCGCACACACCGTAAACATAGCACAAAGCGCAGTAACGCTATTGAAATAAATATTAATATGCCATAGCGAAATTGACAAATAAATGGTTCGGGATGAGCATTCCTAAAGTTATACAATGGATTTCATGTATGGAATTAACAATAACAACCACTTTGTCAAGCTCAAATAGCGGCGAATCAGCTGCACTTGATAGTAATAGGTTGAATAACTTAATGGATTAGCAACAAGAGTTACGGGGTGTGCATAGCTCAGTGGTTAGCGCTTCTGACTTTGCACATTGATGAAGCCTGTTCGATTCCTGCTGAAGTCTAGAAAAAAGAAGTCTGATGCGGAGATGTCGTGATCTCCGAAATAGCTGCTACAACTTCTACTGCTTAGACTTAATTTTTTCTAATTTTTCCTAAAAAAAAATAAATCGTGGAACAAAGCTTTATTGAGCACTATTGAAATAAATATTAATACGCCAGAACAAAATTGATAAATAAATAGTTTGGGATGAGACTGCCTAAAACTATACAATGGATCTGTTTTATGTATGGAATTAACAATAGCAACCACGCTGTCAAGTTTAAATAGCGGCGAATCAACTGCCCCTAATAGTAGTAGGTTGAATAAGAAAATGGATTGTCAACAAGAAATTACGGGGTGTGCACAGCTCGGTGGTTAGTGCTTCTGATTTTGCACATCGGCGATGGCGGTTTGATCCCTGCTGAACTCTAGAAAAAAGAAGTCTGATGAGGAGATGTGGTGATCTCCGAAATAGCTGATATAACCTACCGCTTAGACTTTGTTGTTCCATTCCAAACAAATCGTGATACAAAGCTCAATAGCGCTATTGAAATAAATATTAAAATTTACAAATATGTAATTTTATTGAAGTTTTGTAATTTTATTTTATTTAGTGTGAATTAAATAAATTTTAATAAAATAAAATACAATATTAAAAAATTTTCATTGTGTATTTTTTACACCATCTAGTACAAATGATGCCATATATCATCATTATAAAAACACTTTAGAATCACATTTTGGAAAAAAGTGAATTGAATGCTATTATAAAAAGTATTAAGGGCCATTTAATAATAAAATGGGATTTTTAATGCATGATTCTAAAAAGGTGCACCGAAAGGGTTAACTCATTGTATTTATTAATCCGTTGAACGTGGATAAAGTTATCAACAAAAAAATATATAAATAAATATATACTTGTAAATATGTAGACTTGTATATTACTGTTATTTTTTTTTATTCAACAGTTCCACCCCTGGGTATTCGATTACTTGGTGCACACCAGCCGCTCTCTGCAGGCCACCGATATGATCTTTTATGCCAAAGTGCCGGAGGTCGACCACCTGCTGTCATAACTTGGTGGGAAAATGATATTCGATTAGAAAAAACCACGGAAACTGTAAGTAGCTCACTTGGTACCCATATATCCAAATATTATAAATTACTTGCTAGCCATTTCGAGGATTTGGAGCCACACGTTTACAATTTAACTGCCGTCAAACCTACTGTGAACTGTCAAATCAAATATATTTTTAGTGAATATTCTGGCATTTACGAATTTGCATGTTCTAATTCTAATAGATAGGCACTACGCTATATGTTGGTATTTCGCCGACCTTCTTTTCCGATTTGTGGCGTATGCCTTGATGTTGTCACCATGGTTGCCCACCAAATTTTTTAACAAAATCTCTTAAGAAATGTTATATACTAAAAGTTACCAAAATCTTTTTTTGCTGAGAAAAAATATACATATTAAAACAGCTACGTTTCATAACAAATTTGTATATGCATACTTATAGTATAAGTATGCATATTTAATTAATAAACAAAAAAATATTACATTGAAAGTAAACTGCGTAAATCGCATTTAGAATTCAAGTTTTCGGTCATGGAGATTACATTTACTTCATCGTGATTGCCACCCTGCATAGTCAATCTTATAACAAAAAAAAAAAATAATAATTAATTTAGTTGTATAGCAATAGCTTCCAATTAATTTGTAACATCAAGCTATTCATGCGTAGCATTCCAGGAGGACAAATTCTCCATATTAAAACAAAACATGTGATTCAAATTTAGCTTAACGCATAAATAACGAATAAGTTAACATTGTTAAGGGAAGCTAAAACAATTCAAAGTTGCTATAAACACAAGGCAAACAAATTAATAGTACACTACGTGGCATAATTATAAGACCGAAACATTTTCCGTTGGTTTTTGGCAATTTTTTTTTGTCGACAGTGTTATATATATATAAAAAACTGTCGAACATACTTTGCATGGAAGAAAATGAGTGACACCGTAAAAAAAATTCCAACAATCAACGTTATTTTGTAGGCATATGTAACTGGCACTTTGTTATACTAAAATTGAATGGGCTATAAAACTGCGTACGCAAAACTTTTCCCAAAATTCTTCAAAAAAGTGTGTAAAATTTTGAGAAAAAATTCGCTGAATTTTTATATTTGCACAAAGTTTGAAATGTGAATTTGTATGGTATTTATTATAGAATGAACTATATTTTTATAGGAAAATATTTAAAAATAAATAATATAAAAAAAGGCGTGAGTACTAGGTACTCATGAAATTTGATGTGTTAACCAGAGTGTCCAGATTTGGCAATTTCGCGCCAATTTGGCGATTTTTTTGGATATTTGCGCGTAAATTATAAAAATATACAAAACTTAGTTTTCCACGATAATTTTATAGAAGAGGCTAATGAACTGCGTAATAAACTTTACTTAAGAAGCATATTAAAAGACTGTCAAAAATGTTTTATAACCCTAATCGAAGAACGTTTGAAACGATTACCTAGTCAATTAAATACTTACATATAAAAAAGTTTTGATTTTGTCACCAGAAAAGGGTGTGAATCCCCAGAGAGCGAGTTTCAGGACCTGCCAATTCACTATTTGACTTTTAAGGAAAGGAAAGAAGCGGAAACTGAATATTTAAATCTTTTAACTTTCCCATGGAATAACTTTTCTCAGAACCATTCCATCCGACTCTGAAGAATTTTGAATAATTGCTTACGAAGTGAAAACCACCACAGACAATAAAATGTTTGGAAATATAAGTAAATTCGAATAAAGTGTTATATGAAGGCTAATAGTTTCTGGTGCAAAACGTTTCCAATATCACACAGTAGGGGTATTCTCGAAGTTTTGCACGATGCACGGATTGCACGAAATGCAAAAAGACTTTTCCAAATTTCGAAGAGTACGAGAGCACGCCATTGCAAAGCGGTAGCAAGCAGCGAAATTATGTATCAAATACAATAACAAGAGACAGCAAAAAAAAAATGAAGTGAGCGAGATGAGGGGAATGAGGGATATATGTAGCAATTCCGACAACAAAACAACTAGCACAGGGTCGCATTTATCTTGCTATGCTATTTTGCTAAATATATACATGGGTTTCGACGTTGCATATTTTGCAGCGATAGGAAATATTATTTCTCATGTATTTTGTTGTTGTGTGTTTGCAAGTTATGCAATCCATGCAATCCGTGCTACGTGCAAAGGCTGTGCAAGATTTGGAGAATACCTCTAGTATGTTATCAAGGTTGTAAATGTAAATCATTCAGACACTATAGGTGATTCTGAAGAAATTGTGGAAATAGCCTTATTATAGGTTTTTATTTAATTTTTAGCGCCGAGCTCTTAAAAGCGGATTGTGCGATTAATCAATTAATATGAGTGATAATAAATTTAATAATTGCGCAGTCCTATCGCAAAATGTGTTGAAACAAATATTTTTAAAAGGTATGGGTATTTTTAAAGAAAATTGTTTGTATATAACTATATAAAAGTGATTTGTGTTATTTCTCTCTCTGAAGGTATTATATTCGTTTTTGGTCTTAAAAACAATATTATAAAAAGATCCTGGACATCCTGGTGTAAACATATGCGTACGGCAAAGCAATCAAGTACATTTACATATAAATATAATCTCAATCAAGGCTCGTTAGCTATTAAATTGGTTGTGCTTGTTATTCTCACAACTCGCGGAAAAGTCGAGCTTCTTCTCTATGCCACCCTGGTCACTTTTTTCTGCTACAAATATTATGCTTGTTGAAAGGAGAACCAGATACCCTACATATCACACATTGGATTTAATTGTAGATGTAGCAGATTAACTATTGTATTGTTGAATTGTATACTTGAATTTCTCCCAATCTATTGTATCTCAATTACTTATTTTATTTTCATTGAATTTGTTGTATCAACATAAATTACCATGTAAATACTCTTTCTTGGGTGAACACCCAATGTACAGCGTGAACACCACCAATCAATGTTTGAAGGTGTTGGCAACGCGCTCGCGAGCACCTTGCAAGAAGCTGGATTTTGTGACACCTATATGTATATGTACATATTTTCTTAGCCGAACATTATTTGGGCAATTCACAAGGTGTTGTGAAGTTATATTTTCCTAACAAAAGTTGTGTTAAAACACGACGGTTGTGAACACCTGTTACGATTATTTATTATATCTCAGCACTTAACCTCACATAACACCGAATAAACATAGGTTGCAGAGTTGTATCGTCATGTGTTATTTTTCTTCACAAAACAATAACATTTTTACAACTGTCATGAAATATCATGACTTCACGACAAACACGACAAATACGACACCTTGTGAATTGCCCAATTATTACATAGCAAAAATCCACTTCGTGCGGTTGCGAATTTTCTA